AATACATGCCAGGTCTGCCCTCTCATCAACAATTAAGTCCCGGATGAGAGGAGCTTTGTGTACAACAGACCTGGCATTTAGCGACAGCAGCCTGAGGCCAGGGTCCTGACTACCCGCGCCATCTGGCCTCGGAGTGGGACTCATAGGGCCGGAAGGAGGGATCTCTGTGATGTAGCGAACCCTCCTTCCCCGGTAATGGCCAGCCCTAAAGTCCCCGCCATATCTGCCCCTCCCTGTTATGACCGTAATGCCCCGACCCACTCCCGTGGGCGTGGTTCCCTCAGCCACCCCTATGGCTCCCGCATTCCCCGGCAGGCCCTCCGAATCAGTCATACTCATATATTCACTCAGTCAGTCCCCACGTGGTAATTAAAACACAAAAATACAGCAAAATGGAATAATAAAAGTGGGATCATTCATTCTATCACTAGCAATCCCATGCACTCACCATACCAATAAAAAATTAAGCTTAAAAAATTAAAAATTACGGAGCACTGCAACAGTGCGCTATCAGGCGATGATGTAACAAATGAGGAGGGAGCTGCTCCGTTCTTCTCCGTTGCTTGCAAGCGTTTCATAATCTGATTAGGTAACATCAGTGAACATTAGGACCTAGTTGGGTAATGTCTGCATGCAAACAAACTCAGCCCCTAGATTTGACTATTGATTATAAATTATATTGTGGTTGTAAAGATAATTTTCCAAAGCAGGTTTCAAGTATTAGAAAGAATTAGAAATAAAACATCTAGTAAATAGTAAATTTAAATATTTTTTTCCTATTAAGTAAGGACCTTGAGAATGGAGGAGAGTGGCTAATGAATGACCTGGGTGTTCAGCATACTATTAATTCAGCACAAGAAATACATCTTACTTTTTGGAAACTATGTGGAAGCCTCCAGATGCTTTTCTTAGCAGCAGAACAGAAATAGTTACTGTTCATTGTTTTCTTTCAAGAAATGGAATTAATATTAAGTTACAGTTTCCCAATAGCCAGATTTGGAAAGCACACTTATTCATAGGTTCCCAATGAATCCAGTTGTCTGGATTTGCATAATTTACTAAGCAAGAAAACATATAGATTAGTTTGTATTCATGTTAAGCTAAAATGAGTGTTAATTTGTAGTTTAGTGTATTGTGTAAATTTAGCTTTAATCTAGAAATTAATTTTCAAAAGATGATTTAAATAGCTAGAAGGAGAGGAAGAAGAAAGCAAAGAATGCTTACAGCGCATTTTTACTAACTTAAAGCTAGATATATCTGCATCTCATGTATTTCTAGCACATCAGCTTTGGTCTTTAAGCTGGTTATGAATATACAGTTGTGGTAAACATCCTGCTGACCATAAATTTTCTATTGTAAAACGGGATTGTAGTTTTGTTGCTAAGGAAAAATCAGCACAATTACAATTAGTATTAATAGTGAAATAGATGCAGCTGCTTAAATCCACACTAATTATAAATAGAGGTGTTTAAAAAGAGGCAGTATCTGCCTCAAGCAAGAAGGAAGTGTTTGGCTGTATAACAACACTATAGAGTAACATAAGCAGTAAGTACTTTTGGGATTTTTTTAAAGTTATAAATGCTAACTTTGGTTTTTGGATTGCTTAATATTATCTGACAAAATAAGAACATATAGTTAGCTTTATATTATAGAGAATGTTGATTTTAAAAAAATAATAGAACTAGATGTTTTATTTAAAATGTTGCAATACTGGCCAGAAACATTTTAACTGTTCTGTAGCAGTTATCTAATAGCAGATTTAAGTAATAAATGTCTAATATTTTATATCTATACAAAGAAACCTGCTTTTTAGTATCCCATTTAATACATTGTACTAAATGGTGGTTTATTCAATAAACTGTAATTAAATATAATCCACTGAGAATACACACACACACACACACACACACACACACACACACACACAGCCAATATGAAACAAACTGTGTTGTGGATAATTATGAT